ATATCTAGAAAATGTTTCACATTTTTTTTAGTAGCTTGTTAAATTTGTTATCGAAGCAAAAGAGAGTTTTCAAGATGACAAGTATAGTAAAGTTGTTTCCAAATATCTTATGCATGTTGGATCTATTGGTTAAGTTGTAAATGTTGATAAGAGGTAAGAATATAAATCTTGCACTGAGATCTTGAATTGATATTTTGAATTCTTGAATTAATTTGATTAATGTTAAGATTGTTATTAGGATTTTTCAAAATTTTGATTAAGTGACCAAGTTCTTTAAGTGATAAATGAAGTGAGGTACTATGGGAAGAGTATTGGTGATTATAGCTACGTTTGTGTGATTTTTTGTTAGAGATAAAGTGTATTACAGTATTAATGATTGAGTGTTTAATTTTATGCCAGGTGGTTTCGATACTTTCATTTGTATTATTATTAAGTGGAGTGTTGTGTGTTTTGAGATTAAAAGAAAGAAGGTCAGAAAATTCTGTCCAATTTTCTGATAACATAGCTTTATAATTAAAGATTCTATAACTAATACCAATATGATAGTATGGTGGTTTGCTATATGCATTAGTAAAAGTCCAAGAGGAGAGAAGAATAGAGTAGTCACTTAATGTAGAGGTATTACTATTATCAAGTCTGTATGAAAGAAAGAACTGTATGTTAAATAAGTCAGTCCAAATATAGTCAATATGACTTTGACTAGTATTGTTTGACTATGTGTAGTATTTGTTATTAATATGTGTTCCAAGATCATACATGTTGGATTGATATAAATAGTTAATAAGTTGGAATTTGGATAAGGAACTACAAATGTTGTCATGTGTGTTAAAGTCTTCAAGGACAATTGGATGTAGACTCAATTGATGGACTTGTTAAATTCATGTGATTACTATGTTTTGTATTTTATTCTGTTTTTGTATATCAGTAGAAGAGAGGTAAACTACAATAATGCAAAGTTTAATATTATTTTTGAAGAAGAGGTCTAAAGCAATAGCTCCATCTGGATGTATTTGACAATTATATACATGAGATTTGAGTTGGTTATGAATCATAATAGCAGTACCTTTCACTGAGTTTTCAGAGTTGGCCCAGAAATAGGTAAAAAGATTGTTATTGCAAAACTGAAGATTAGTTTTGTTAATAATTTTTGTTTCAATAATACATGCTATATTAATGTTGTTGTAGAGGCAGTAGTTTTGCCAAGTTTTCTTTTTAGTTGCTATATTAAAGCCTCGAATATTGTGTATAGCAATGTTTAGATGTAGATTATGTAAATTTTAGATTAATATAGAAGTTTGTAGCCTAGTTGTTAGTAGGTATAGAGATGAAGTATTGTTAAGAAATAAATCTGATATGTTAGAAGTAGGGTTGAAAGAATATGATTTAAGAGGAAGATTGTAGAATTTAGAAAGAAGATAAGAGAGAATAATAATATAATTAGTAAGAAGTAAGTCATTAGAGAGGTATATATGAGTTTCACTATAAATTGAATTAACAGAGAATGTAATACTAGTAACTTTTTGGTTGTGATTGTGTTTATCAATATGCTGTATAAGTGTTTGGATGGTTTGGTTGTGAAGAAGAAGAGGTATATTATAGTAAAGAAGAAATTTGTTAAAACATATGTTAAGATCATAGGAGGTTAAAAATAATGAAAATGATCTTTTAGTATTGTCTTCTACAGGGTCAATCACCATATGCTTGATTCTCACAGCTGTGCAAGGTACCATAGTCTGCTCTGTACATTGGGTCTGACTATTATAATCCTGGCCTTTCACATAAAATATATATATATATATTATATAAATATAATATATTAATTTAATATTAATTTAAATAAAAGTTAACTTAAAAATTGACATTATAAAAAAAAATTAATTTTATTAAAATTGATAATTTGTAATAACTGATAAAAAATTAAGATATACATTATGCTTGTTTTATAAGTTAAATTTGACAACTAGTTAAATTTAATAACTAATACTTAAAAATAAAATATATGTATATTAGATTTAATAGGTAAAATAATTTAATTTAATTGGTTCAAATTATAGATTTTGTATATATAATATATTATAAATATAAAAAAATAAATATAGCCAATCATATTTGTTTATAGCTATATTTATAGCTGATAAATTATTAATATTTCAAAAATAATAACTTGTTAAAACTGATCATCATGTATATTGGTTTTAGAAAAGTTATACTGTATATAGTATTTTGAATTAAATACTATATATAGTAATATAGCAAACAAAACAGTATACATATATATATTTACGTTATAACAATAATATTTATTATATATAAGTTATATTTCATCTATACAAAATAAAACTTTAAAATTATATTAGATATAAAAGTATTATAATAAAATAATAAGTAAAAGATTGTAGATATGTTTTTATGCACGTACGTACAAATATATAATTTTGAATGTCTATCTAAATTAAGAAGTTATAAACTCATTGAGAAATGCGAGATTTGCAAGGCTTGCAGGGAGGTTTTTTGAATAAGTTAAAGTTTATACAGGATTGATTAGCTATATTTATTAAAGAAAAAAGAAAGAATATATTGTAAAAAACATATATATAGTATAATAATATATTGATATGTGCATAATATATTGATATGTGTAATAATATATTAATCACTATATATCTAATAAAGGTATATGTAGTAAATATACAGTACGTATTAGAATAATTTAATAAGTGATAAAGATAAATTAATGTAAATGTAAATGTAAATGTAAATGCAATGATTGGTAATAAAAAATGTGCAACAATTAATAAAAAAAAAGAAAGTAAAAAAAAAAGAAAAGTGATACTTTAGACGCATGAGAATTATTTTAAATACGTATCGGTATATAATTTACAATATAGAAAGTATTATAATTTACATATATATATATAGAAGAAAAAAAAAAAAATAGTAATACAGAATTATCCGAACCATCGGTAGATCCATTAAGCAGTGCAACGATAAATAAATGATAAGACCGCCAGGATGTATAACAAGAAAGATGCATATTTCAAGATAATTGTTTCCAGAACAAGATGACAAGAATAATTAAGAAACGGGTAGGTAGGTAGGTAGGTACGTATGTATGTATAATGGCCGATATAAACACAAGCAAAAAAAAAAAATAACAAAAAAAAACATATCGATATACATATAACAGGTTAATAAGAGAATCTCTCCGGGGAACCTGAAAATCTGAGGATCCGAGAATCAGAAAAGTCAGAAAAATCAGGAAATTTAGGATATATAGAAGGAAAAGACTACGTATAGGTAATACATAAAATGAGTGTAAAAGATTAAAAGAGATAATATTGTAAAAGATCAAATGAAATAGTACTACATATGTACGTATGTACGTACGTATAAGAGATTAAAAGAAATAATACTATACGTATAAGACAGTAAGAGATTATAAAGAGATAACAAAAAAAAAGATAAAAAAGGGCAATTGGCAAGTCATTTGAACAAAGGTTGCAGTAAAAGCATTAGAAACTAGATCAATAAATGTAATAAAGAACCGAAATCATAGACATATGATAATTATGAAGAGAAACCTTAATCAGAAACAGATATCGAAATTAGGGCATTTTAAAGTTTTGATACATTAAACACATTAATCAGCGGATCCATAAAGCATTAGTAATAGTTAAATATGCGGATAATCGCTTAATCACTTCTGTGCGAGTAGATCTAAAATCTAAGAATTTCTAAAATTTAAATTTAAAATAAAATAAAATTTTTTTAAAAAATCATAGTAATTAATCAAATCATTAGAAAGAATTAAAGAAAAGAATAATATCGATACGATATGGAAAAGAATAAAAAGATTTACGCATAGCGATAGAAAATATAAAGATAATAAAATGAAAAACTTCTATACTTTTATTCTTTTAGGGACTTGTGATTTTCACGGAGCACTGCAGATTTGAAGAGAAAAAAGGACGGTTTCAAGAGTATATAAGAACTATTTATTTGATACGAATTATTTATTTATTTATTTGGTACGAATTATTTATTTATTTGATATATATTGATATATATTGATATTGAATTACATATCAGATATAAGACTATACGAATTACATATTGATACGTATAAGACTATACGGCTACGTATATGAATTACATATGATTATACGAATTACATATATTACATATACGATTATATGAATACAGGTCGCCAATAAAAACAGAGGCTTCACAAAAAAAAAACGATAAGTGTGGGATTTCTTTCGGTGATACAACGCCAGGATACAACACGCCAACCGGCTTATTTTCTATTTGTTTTCTTTTTTTCTTCCCATATATTAATTAATAGGTATTACTTAGAAACTGTGAAACCGAAAACATGTATGTATGTATGTACGTACGTATAATAAACAAGCAGTGCTACCATTATCTTTATGTTACACTTTAAAAAAAAAATCATTTTACAGTATCTAAACTGTTTATCTAAACTGTTCGTTGTTCTATTATTGATCTACCTTTGATTGCTTTGATTAGCTCATATATATCATAAATATAATAAATAACATAAATAACATGTATATTATTATAATGTATATATTATCATGTATATTATCAAGTATATTATCATATATATCATAAATAATCGATAACTTATATAAATATATATAAGCAAGCGTCTATCTCCTCCTTTCAAAAAAAAAACAATCATCCTTAAATAAATTCATTGTTTCTTTCTTGTTATCGTGTTTATATTTTTTTAATTATATATTCACGAAAACTTCAAAAGATACATTAACAGACATTTCAAAAAGACACTTTAAAAAAGACACATACTTAAAGATATTTTGAAGAGTTACTTCAAAAGATATATTTTCTTTAAGAGACAAGCGAAAGTTTATTATAGATCAAAAAACATATTTTCATAAAGTGTCAAATTCTTTACACATTAAATTCGCACATTAAATTTCCATTATATTCACAGAGAAACAACATTATTAATAACCATGTCAACCTTTGTTGTCCCGCAAATCCGTTCAGATGTCCCTCGTTCTTACAGTTATCCAACTACCACAACAAAACGTCGTCGAAAAGATACATTTGTTGAACGATTACTCAAGGATCCAATGCTTCAAACAATGGCTGACATCGGTAAACAAGAAGGTACAATCAGTCCGTTACCCGCACCGCAGCGTGCTAGAACCATAAACAGTGCAGAATTCCAACAATATTATCGTCAAATTCAAGATGGAAATTTTGATCAATATATCAACTCTATTCAAAGCAAAATATAGTTGATCTATATTAGCAATCAATATTTCATACTATTATTTGATACCTGAACAATTTTTTTTTTTTTCTTTATTTATCGGGTAGCTAGTCAAGCAAGAGATATTGAGAGTGTGGGTGCAAGTTTTATAGACGATATACATGGTATATATGAAATTATATATGAATTCAATACTACAATACTACAATATAAGCTTTTTTTTTTTACAGTAATCCATTTTTACATTTTTGCGAAAAAAAAAATAATTTTTTTTCGTCTTTCGTTGTATATAAAAAATCTTTATTATTCGCTCCCTTTTTTTTTTTAATTCCACTTTTTTTTTTGACTTTTATTTTAAAGTCAAAGTTAATATTATCCAACTATTTTCTCTCATTTAATAATTAATTGTCTTGGGTGACGCGACAATTGTCACGTAAACATACCCATTCTTGTAGTCTTTATCCACAATGTGGAATTTTTTTTGTTGCTTTAATTATTGCAATGTTTTTTTTTCAAAAAAAAAAATAAAAAAAAATAAAAAAAAATAAATAAAAAAATAAATAAAAATTTTTTTTTAAATCATCAAATGATTCTTGAGAACTTTTCGTGACACGTTTTCCTATTCATTAAAATGATTGGCTGATGAAAAAATGAATAACGATAAATTGTACAAGCATAAACATCCGCTTTTACGTTGTGTAAGCCGAAAATAAGAGATGGTGCTTGGTATCATTTACGGGAGCACATCCTTTTTTCCAGTTGTCCTAACATAGGTAGCAAATATAGTTATGGTAAAATATAGCGATAGTGAAACGTTATCAAGCAAATAAAGTATATGGCTGTGATCACGCATACCAATATGATTACCTGTTAGATATGGATAACTGCGGTTGATAAGGTTTGATGTCGATGAAGCCAAAAAAAATCATATTTGAGATACGTATCTTCTTTTTGAGTATTACTACTTTCTATAAAAAATGATATCGGATTTTTTAGCTTGTAAACAATCATTAATTCATTCAATTTAGAGATTATTGTTTCAAATATCATTTATTAATAACGTTAATAAATAGAATGAATATTGATAATATTGATAATATTGATAATATTGATAATACTTATAATAGTTATAATGAATAGTGTTTTCTAAAATATATAAATAACTAGCATCAATAATGATGATAAATGTATTTATTAATAATCATTAATAATATAGTTAATTAAATAATACAATTAAATAATAATATAATTAATAATATAATGGTAAATAGTGGAGAAATAGTGGATAAATACGCATAACGTATCGGTATAACCGATAATGATGGTTTATGGTAAAAATTTTCTTTGTAAGCATCCGCCAAAAAATCTTCCCATCCACAAAGCACACACACGTACATCATTGATTGATACTTAATTCGATTATTTTAAACAACCAGTAAACCAAGGATTTGGTCACATGAACATATATATTAATGACTTAATAACGATCTGATGATAAATTTCTTTACTGGCTTTATCTTTAATACAAAGTTGGTAATAAATGCAACCACGATCATTTTAAATTCCCATCCACGCCACCTTTCTTATACTGTTGTATATTTAATATATTTTAATAGATTTTAATATTATAATGATTTGGTATATATATTTTAATATATTTTAATATTATAATGATTTGGTATATATATTTATTATAGATTATATACATTTATTATAGATTATATTATATTTGATATATATATATATTTGATATTTATTTTAATCAACATCTCTGTTAAAGTAGTTTCAAATTTAATTCTGATTTTCAAAGTTAAACCTAAATATGTTTAAATATGTTTAGATGTGTTTAACCATGTTATTAGATGGGAATTTTTTTTTATCTGCTAAATTATATTCCCTTCCATTCAATTAAAACACTAAATTACAATCATCTGACGCTAACACTAATAATTTATTACTGTTATTATCCGTATACTTTTTTCGTTAATGTGACTAGTACAACTAACACACACGTTCAATTATGGTTCAAATATACTTGTTTATTCGGTGGTCATTACACGACATTAATATTTGTGGGGTTATTATTGTTTGAAAAACCATGTATTTCTTATTTCTTTCTTCTAATTTCGTCTTATTTCGTTTGATTTTCTTTGATTTTTTATTGATTTTCCTTGATTTCACCTGACTTTGTCCTTAATGATACAAAAATACTATTTGAATATCTTGCATATATTAAATTTGCGACATACCAAATAAAGTTATCTTAATTATTACGTATAAAAATCTTATGTATATTTTTCTTTCACAAATTTCCTTTTATACTATGACACTATGTTGTGGTCATATAAATCTTGGCTTTTATAGGTCATTTACATAATAACAATAATTTGTTTATACGTACGTATGATATATCGATATATATACGTACGTACGTAAATAATATTCATGTTAACGTTAATGTTAATAAAAACTAATACGTACATATTAACTTTATTGTGAACAATATTAAAGAACAATCGGTTATTTTCCCATGTATATCTGTATATCTGTATCTCAAGTATATAATTATATATTTCACACAATATTTCAGGTCTATTTCATGCCTATTTCATGTCTATTTCATGTTTATTTCATGTATGTTATTATATACTTTGGTCCATAATTCAGTAATTGACATTTCAAATTTTGAAATTTTGAATGCATTTATCATCACGTATGTAAATCCAACGATTCGTTCTATTCTCTTTTTCATTAATAAGAATGTAACGTTAAAAGTTAGTGATCACCCATCAAATTATAAAAAATTATAAAGTACCTATGACCAATAAAAATGTATTTTTTTAAAACAGGTATATATCCACAATATGTCTACGTTACCATGTCCATGTAATTCCATTTATATAATCAACCAATAAAATACTTTTTTAAAGCAACGACCTTTTTTTTTTTTTTTTTGTATTCGAATTACAGATTAATGAATCTATACGTACACAAGTCATTTGTCAGATCATTAACATTTAATCATATATTTTAGTATTTAAGTACTACATTTTCTTATTCTCTTAATTACATGCATTAGTTTGTGTTAATCATAAATTTCGTTAATACCATTTACCCGCGCTTTCAAAATGTAGGGTGCAAGGAATGCAGATGAAACGCAAGTATGTACCTTCATATGTAGTACTCATAGGTACGTACGTACGCACGCACGCACATACGTCCGTACGTACGTATTTACGTACGTATGAATACACATACGATTCTACGTACAAGTATACGATAATATCATATATTCGTATGTATATTCATACATATCTGATATTATACGTACGAATATCCAATATACATACGAATATACGTACGAATACAATAAAAAGATTTATCTTAGTAATCGTTTACCTGCCAGATTTCTTGCCAAAGATTCCTGGAATATGCATATAATAAACAAACATTAGAAAGAAAAAAAAACAACATGTGCGATTATGATGAATTTATTGGATAACTTTGTTTTATTGTTAACTAGATTTTTTATTGTATTCGTAATTTTTTATTGTAATTTAAAGTTATTACTTAACGTTAACAAATCTAAACAATCTATTAAAATTTACCCTTACTTCATTGCATCTAAATAATTTGTTTACTATACTAACCGAACAAATTATATTTGTTTAAAAATATGTGTGATTTGAAATTTTTTTATACCTTTTATTTAATTGATTATCAAAAAAAAAAAAACCAATCTTGCAGATAAATCGTCTGCAAATTATCACAACTGACCTATCAAATTATATTGAATTGTCATCCATATTCACCCTATGATACCCATGGCATCATGTCGGTCGGTTAAAGGGGAATAATTTAAGAATTCTACTTACGAAATCATTTTGTACAAAACAAATGTCATTTACATTACGCATTTATTTAATCTTTCTTTAAGTGAAACAACTATTAATTTAAATCGCAAATGATCCCTGTTACCGTTACATACGTACGTACGTAGTATGCGATATTATGCACGTGACATTCATTTCATTTACCTTTTATTTATCTTTAATTTATCTTTAATTTATCCATTTATTATTCGAAAATTCTCGTGGAAATCGCTTGACGTTGTCTATGGAATTATCTTATAACACGTATCAGTATAAGTATAATACTACTGTAATACTATAATACTATAATAATACCCGGTCTAATATCAATAACTCTTGACTAAACCAATGAATCGGTCCGATTCAAGGTTAGAACTGAACTGATTAAATTGCAAAATCAAATGATAATGTTATACTAATTAAATTGTCAAATGATAATGTTATACTGTATTTGTATAACAAATCTATATACATTTAATTAATCATTAAATTAATAGATAAAATCTATTTAACCCATTTGACTTGATCGTTTAATTACAGAATTAATAGATAAAAATCATATTTGACTTATTTGACTTGATCAGTTGACCAACCCCGTAATAAATGATGTTTTTTTTTTTTAATTTGGTATGTACATGCGTGCGTGCGTAATGTACACCTCCTATACCATACTGATCCATATGTTGATCGGCGTATTTGTTTTTGTATTAGTGCCAGAATAATTTTGGTTATAGTAATAAAACTGTGACGGTAGTAGTTAATCTAAAGATTTCCTTGGTTTGGTAATGTTAACGCCTCACGAGAAGTTTATAAGTATATTCAATTCATTTTTACGTATAAAATTTCGTTACACCTAATCATTTTGGGGGGTTTTTTTCTTATTATTATATAGCGATATAATAATTATATAGTAATTATTCACTAATGATTATATAGTTATTGTTATTAAAATTCTTGAATACGTAGTAGTCTTTCTAACAATTCAATTAATTTTAAATAAATCATTATAATTAAGTTTATTTGTAATATCTAATTTCGTAAACCATTGCTTACTAAAACCTTACCGAAACTATCAATTACTGTATATAATATTACTACTTTATATAACCTGTTTATATATAATTGTTAACAATTATTACAAAATTTATCAATAAATGATTTGTATAAAAAATTTAAAATATTTTAACAAATATTTGACAAAATTTAAATAATTGTAAAATAGTTAAATTTAAAATTAAAAAAAAAACTTTTACTTAAAATTGGATTTCTTTTTTATTAATTTTTTCTTATATATATTATAAAAAATTTTTGTCTATATACTAATATATAAAATACAAATTTTATATATTAATAAAATACAATATATATTTTCTAAACTAGTATATATAATGATTAGTTTTTATATTAGTTTTGACAAATTATCAGTTTTAAAATACTAATAATTTATTAGTTATATAATTATAAACAATATAATTAATTGAATTTATTTTCTATTTTTAAGATATGTTATATAATATCTAATTTAAACTAATCAAATTAATTTATTTTACTTATATTTTATAACTATTTAATTTTTAAATATTAGTTATTAAAAATAATTAATTATTAAATTTAATTTATAAAACTAAAATGTGACAACTTAGTAAAATAGATAAGTTACCAATCTTTTAATTAATAAATTGTAAGTTCAAAACCTACTAATAGTAAAAATTTAAATAATCACTTATATAATATATAAATAATATTATAGTAACAGCATTCTGTTGATCAGTTGGAATAAAACATCTGTAACTATAATCACATCAGTATAACTGGCAGATTATAAAATATTTGTATAATATTTGAGTTATACAAAAAAATGCAAACTGGCATTAGACAGTGCAAACTCAAAATAAATTATTGTGATTGTATAAATTTGTAGAACTAGAAA